AAAGAAAATCCCTTTGTGTGGCTTCTAATACGCCTCTGGATGTGAGTCTTGAAATACCTAGCTGTGAATGCTGCTCTCTGTATCATGATGTTCCAAGTCTTAAGAAAATTGAAGTTCAAAGAGAAGGGAAGACTAAGAGAGTTTGGTTTGTAGCTATGGAACAAGCATTTTCTTTGCCACTTCAAAAGCTCTGATAAAAGCAGTCCAGTGATTCAGGATAAGATTAAATTATTTGATGTATTAATTTGACAGTGGKCTAGCATTAATAAGAAGATCTCATTTTTCACCCCATTACAAGATTGCTTTTGTGAATTACAGAGGAGTTTAAAACWCCCAAGGTAGAGCTAATCAAAGTTCTAGTTTGTATGAAGGTCGTGCCTGCCCTCTGAGGTCTGACTTTCACGTGCTTTTTTGAAACCAYTGAATTCCTAAGTAGCAAAATCTGCCAGAATTTTGTGAAGACCACAAAAAAATGTGGATCTGTGCTCTGCAGACTTTTGAAAATGCTGAAGGTTTATGGAAACACATACAGATTCTGCAAGTTACCAATATCAAGGATGCATAACTGAAYGAATATTTTAATATTCAGAGTGAATGTCATGACCCTCACGATATTGAAACTTCATTTAAGTTGGGTGAGGTATGTATGCAGATGATGSTACACTGAGAACTGTGAGTGTGGAAGACAAAAGACAGTAAAATTACATGGCCTCTGATAAAGAACTTTAAATTGAGTGTCTCTGACACAAAGTCAATGTTTCTTCCCATCATTATGCTTCTCCTCACAGAAGCATGTATCTAAGGGGGTCTTTAGTGCCTAATGACAGAAAATGTAGGGTGTGAGCTTTTTCTTAATAGATGCTCCAAGAGAAGGAAGTACCAGCAATACAATCTCAAGAGAAAGGGAGTTAATAAAAACTTCTGCTTGGAGCCATCAGTGGAGCTATCYCTACTTTTCTGTTCTGAAGAAGCAGCAGGTGGAGGACAGGGAATATGATTTCATGAAAGTATTCTCACTTTCTGGAAGATATCAAGTCAAAATGTAGAAAGAATGTACAATTTTTTTCTTTCACATTTTTGCATCTGAGCACAGTAAAAAGCAGTGGMTTGTAGTTTTTGAAGAGACAAAATGAGTGAGACCCATAAAAGCAGCATRCTAGGATGGGGAAAGACACGCTTCCAGGAGCCTGTGCTGGGCTGAACTTTAGTTTCAAATGATTACACACATGAGGTAGTGGCACACGATTCCTCTTTACGAGAGTAGTCCTGAACTCCTGCCAAAAATCCCTCTATATGCCACTTAGTGCTTCAAGACAAGAAGAATAATGACAGGTCTGTGAAATCTGCTGGAATTGACAGTTCTTATTGTTCTGAAAAGTTTYCGTGACGCACAGGAATTTTCAGATTAGCACTGCACGATGTTGAACAAAATGGGTGTCAGGCAAATCAATGGGCTTTTCACAATTCACAAGTCTTTGTTTTACTGCTGTTTCATCTTTATTCTTGCTTGGTGCTGCTTTGTTGTGTGCATGTATCATTGGAGATGTGAGTGCACATGCACTGAGCAGGGAGCAAGAGCTTTCCATGGCATGATGCTGCATGTAAGCCAAGCCTTAACATGGAGAAACTTCCCCTTTTTTTTTTTTTTTTTTTTTTTTTTTTTTTTTTTTTTTTTTTTTTTAAAGACACAAAAATAAGGAACCGTTTCTATTTGTGTGGTTAGTCTCAACTGGAGTTACAACTGTCTTCAACTAATTTGGATGCGAACATAGTGAGCCACCCTTTTACACCTGTGTGTGAAAATTTGTACCTACTCACCCGAGTAATGGGGTGAAAAYCAAATACAACTGAGGCAAAATTGAAGGCTGGTGGCTCTAGCATCTGTCTGCCTAGAACAYGAATGACCCCCAGGGTTTTTGTAACTGAAGGAGGGTTAAGATCCAGGGAAATAATGCAATATTCAAATTTAATGTTTCCTAACACATCTAAAGCTCAGATCAGAATTTCTGCCCTGTGCTTCCAGAATAGACTAACATATGGGTGTGAGGCTGTATGAGCAGATAAAAGATAACTCATTAAGCTTAAAGCCCATAGGAACAAAACAAAATCCGTGGAATGCCTATTCCACTTAGGTTTTCAATGTTACTGTCATTGAGGCAAATGGAAAGAGAAAAATAACTCACTTCCTTTGTGAAAATCTCACTCTTCCAAGAAAAATATAAGCATAAGACTGAAGATCAGATCAATGCCTGGTGGCATCTCGTGTAAGTCAGGGGAGCTATGCCAATTTGGTCTGGCACCAAGCATTTTAGAAGACATATGAGCCCATCAAACCAAGTGTTTTCCAATGCAACCAATTAAAGCTACCCCAAGATAGCATTTTTTTCAGCTTCTGCATCCTCCCAACTGCTGCCARCATGCCACAGCTCTCACTGAAGCCTACTCACTCCTCTGTTGCTGGAACTCTTATAGCTTGGGAATCTGAAATGCCTCTCCCACATAGATCATCCCCAAGCACTAACGATGAGCAACTGTTCTCTGCACCATCAGGTCAAAAATCTAATGCAAGCACGGTTTTGACTGCAACACGAGTTTTTTCTACCTCAGGCACCACCAAAGCGTGGTTTGAAGCCCTCAGACAGACTGATCCAGTGCTTAGCAGTTATAGGCTGTCTCCCTCCCTCCCTCCCTCCCTCCCTCCCCAGCCCCCTCCTTTTATCTGCTAATGCACAGGGATAGGCAAGCAAAAAAATCCCTTCAAACAAGGTTATGGGAGAGAGAGGAACTCGATCACACACAGTATTTGCCTAACACCAGTGACTAAACTTGAGAGGTTTATGTTGTTTGAACTATATCCCTGGAGTGCTAACAAGAATTAAAATATCATCTTAAGAGTTGCAGTGACCTTAAAGGACAATGTTCTCCTAGGCTTTCACATCAGAAAATAAAGCAGAAGGTAGTAGGTATGGAATTAAAACCCCTCAAAGGTGCAATTAAGCTTCATTCGGATGCATCCCAAAGGTGTTCAAAATGACCAGCCTGGAGCAAGGAACAACCCATGCCCAGGTGTGCAAGGGTCCAAGCTTTCTCACAGATTTTTATGAAATATCTCAGTCTGGATCAAAGCATTCACCTCCAGGATGAGGAGTGGGCACATCTCTTTGCTTAGACTGMTGTACGCAATGGGATTTTCAGCTACACCGGTGCTAAGTAAATATAAATGAATGATACAAGACCCTGGGGAAGGTGATAYAGCAGCAAAATACCTTCTTCATCTAAAAAAAAATTCTTGGCTTTTTCATCACTGCTGAACAAAAATAAGTATTGCAATAATAGCTAACAGTGCTTTTTTCCACATCTTAGAAAAATGCATTTTTTTTTAAGTCCAGTGCCACAGGATGCCTGGAGCCATCATTTCAATAAAAGGTGACCAAAACACCCCTGGGAAACACAGGGAAGAGAGACTTATATCTATGTCTTCAGAAAAAGCAATAATTCAAGTTTAATAAGGGGTCCCTCCTGCATTTGTGACATGTTGGGTTAAGCACTCAAAACTACACAGAGGAGCTTTACACAGCTTTCATCAAMAGACACTCTCTCTGTATCGATCCACTGAATTCTGTGTTCTGGGGTTTTTTGGTTTGTTTTTTTTTTTTCATTTATATTGATCCAGCAGTTCTTGAAAACACTGACAATTCTTTTTTTGGCATCAACTCTGAGACAATGCTGTTTCCTTTAACTGGAGGGACAAGCTCCACATACACACCTTCCTGTCACAACTTGCAAGGCAAACCAAAGCTGACCAGTTAAACCATATCTAAAAAAAATTTACACCCTCAGCTTGAGATTCCCCGGCAGCAATGTGAGTTCCTAACGCTGGAAAATGAAGCGTGTGTTAAGTTCTAAAATGAACATGAGACACAAAAAATGGATCCCTAAAATGCAGCCAACTTCATATGATGTTTGCACCCCAGTTTGGTTACTACAAAATTCCTGATACACTTGACTAGCTCAGGCACGGGGTGAAAATACAAGAAGTTTTTCATAAATCTTTTTCCTCCTATTTCTGCCATTCCTCCCAKGCATTTTCACAAACCAGATAAGATGACTACAGTCTCTGACACTGTTAAGCAGAGACAACCGTGAGCTCCATGCAGCAAAGCTCCCTGTCATGAGAAAACATGAACAATGCTGAGCCAAATTCAAGGCTGGTGTAACTGAAGTAACCCCAAAGGGTTACAGAGGGACAGATTTGCACACACACTTCACTCCTCTTTCTAAATATACTGTTTCTGCTTTACAGAATCAAAAGCTGAGTCCCAACAGGCAAAGGAATCAACTTCTAACACATGGCCCACAATGGCAAAAAAGGAAACTCTCCACACTTTTCACGTACTAATAGGTTTCATAAACAAATAGGAAAGCTTTYGAATCAAACATATTTTTAAAAGCTTTCAAAGAAGCAACCAATTTGAAAAAAATGAGAAAAGGAACGAGAAGGATAGAAAAAGCAATGACTTCTTTTTGTGCTTAGGACAGTGATGAATGATGAGCAACTCATGTTTTCTTGGCTCAGGGTTTGAACTAGCRTTTGACAAACCACTGTAATAACATACCTGTTATTTTTATACCGACACCACAAATGCTGGTGCCTACATGTGGGCACCTCAGACTTTTGTGCCTGCGATATTCTGCTCCATGTGGTTTCCTTTCCATTTCAAACACATGGRGGATCTGAAACACCCCAAAGAACACAGCATCCTTCCACAGACTAACCTTAATTAGACTAAAAAAACACCCAAGGCGATGTAAATAGCTAACTAGCTTGTCCGACGCATGAAACCAATCGGAAGAACCCATCTCGTACGCACGGAACAAAACCGAGGAATCCTCCACGCTATTTCCAATTTTTTACTAATTTGCTTTTGCCGTTCCTCGACACCATCAACCGATCTATGCCCGGGCCGAAACAGCAGCATAAAGTACACTGTTTTACTTACAGAGATCTCGTAGCTCCATCGTTCCCGATGACAAATTCACCTCCCACACGGCAGCGAGCGAATGACTTAATGCTGCCTTCGGCGGGCGGCACCGTGCGCACGGGCAGCAGCGGCGGCGGCGGGAGATGCTCGGCGGCGATGCTGTGTCTCTCCGCGGCGATGCTGTCTCTCTCCGCGGCGATGCTGTCTCTCTCCGCGGCGATGCTGTCTCTCTCCGCGGCCAGCCGTGCCCGGCGCAGCCATGTGAGAGGCGCTGCCCCGCGGCCGCGCACCTTGGGCCGCGCCGCGGGCTGAGCGCGTATCTCCGCTTATGTGCCGGGCGGCCGGCGGGCTCCCATTGGCACGGGCGGGCGGCGGCAGCCAATGGAAAACCACTCCCGCGGCAGGGAAACTCCTGCCCGCTTATTTAGCATCCCGGGAGACCGTATTTCCGAGGAAGAGCGCCTCTTCCCTCGCATCCTGCCATGGCACGGCGGGGATGAGCGGCTCAGAGATCCCCGTCTCCGGGGCTCCCCCTCCCCGTTCGCTCCCGAGCCCGGCGCTCGCCCAGAGGATGCGCTGGTGGGGACCCGGCACCCGCGTCCACCTTGGCGGGGGCCGCGGGGGAGCGCGCCGGAGCTCCACAATTACTCGCTCCATCGCCATGGAAACAGCCTGGATGCAGCGGGCTGGATTTGTGTAGCACATCTGCTGCCAGGCTCATAATCAGCAGCAATCTCATCTCTTTTCCCTCTGCTCTCGCTCTTATTTGATTGTGAGTTTGCCTTCTCTTTTCATACGTGCTGGGAAAGTACACACAGACGGAGCCGTGTACACGTTGGCTTTCTCCCTGTGCAAACACGCCATGACACACGTGTGTASGCGCACATAGCCCAGGAGTATTCACTTGCATGCATGCACATGCTGAGGAGGCACGGTCTCTGTGTGCCACAGAATCATTGAATAGTTAAAGATCATCTAGATCCAACCCCCCTGCCATGGGGACGGGTAGCTTTTACGAGTGCTGGTTGCTCCAAGTCCATTCCAGCCTTGAACACTGCTGGGGATGGGGCAGCCACAGTTTCTCTGTCAATTTGTCCCACGGCCTCATTATGCTCACAGTAAAGAATTTCTTCCTAACATCTAATCTAAACCATCCCTCTTTCACTTTAAGSCAATTACCCCTYGTCTTGTCACTCCACGCCCTTGTAAAAAGTCCCTCTCCAGCTAAGGAAAGTGCTCAAATATCTCCCTGGAGCSTTCCCTTCTCCAGACTGARCAAYCACAACTSTCTCAAGCCTGTTTTCATAASAGAGGTGCTCCAGACCTCTGATCATCTTCTTGGTCCTCCTTTGGACTTGCTCCAACAAATAATACACCTTATTCACATTTCAAGTTTAAGTAACTGACCAGCAAAAGACACGACTGCTATCAAAATATTGTATTTTGCTTTCCAGTTCCATTTATTATATCTCTCCAAAATAAGATAAAACTCTGGGACAGCTATTAGGAAACCTCCAAAAATGCACTGGCACCCATAGACAGTGCTGTGAATYTTCATGCAGCTAATTCTACAGTGGATATTCCCTGTCCTGTTCAGGGCCTGATGAAACACATCACTAGGGAATTTTTATGTACAAAAGGGTTGTTAGTCATTTGCAAAAACTCTGCCCTAATCTTTGACAATATAAGGAAGGAGAGATGATTAGAAGAAAGGAAGCAACATTGGAGAGAGAGRAAAGATTCCTAAACCAACAATGCAGTCAGCAAATGACTAATTTGGCATTTGGGGGTAATTTCTSACTGCCCCTCAGACTTTCTCTGGGACAACTGAAAAGAATCTTTCATTCTTTCCATGTTTCTGTTACTGAAACTGCAAGATGAGGAGAAAAGTCAAGTTCATGCATTTATATTAGAAAGATAACTTCAGACAAACCATGAGACAATAACATATTATTATTATGGTGTTAAGAAAGAATTTCAGATGGAAAAGGTGATGATGCATTTTTATTTTTTTTCAGGAACCCTTACTTTCCCTTATTTCACTAAAATAAGAAGAATGAAAAAATGAAARCACTTCTTAAAAAACCTCAACATTTCTATGTTGGACTAATAATAGAAATCCACTCCATTTACCATGGTAAATGCATTTTAAAATGGACCATGACAGAGCCTTGCAGGCAGATTTACAGATCTCCCTGTACAATGAAGGCCACTCCTTGTTAAATGTCTTCTACCKGAGTCTAATCCAGGGTGCAGGAAGGTCTTCCAAGCCTCTTGSTCTAGTGCTCCAGAGCAAAGCCAAGAACAGAGAGCTACACCAGAGATTTGGCTTTTCAGGGCACCTGTGACTCAATTATAATTCTTGACATAGAAATGARCTTCTGAGAGAATTGTGCTTGTAATGGTTCAGGATGCCATAAGGGTTCACTTCTGGCAATGCTGTACTTCCGACTTTTCATTTGCCTTTGGAGCAGCACCATCTCTGTAAGGATTACCYTGAGCTTGCCAACTTTTGGGGTCATTCTCTCAGTTCTGAAATATTAAACTCTGGAAAGATATTCAGCGTACATTTTAAGGTAATGGGTGCTAATTAAAAAGCCTAGATTGGCTGAAAGAACTGTTGGGGAAAAAAGCAATCTGTTCASTTCCATCCCTCTCCCACCCCTCCTTCCACCTAAATCACACAGGGGAGAGGGTGGAGCATGCTCTGTCATTTTTCTGTGAATGGTGAAACTTCAGCAGTTCCAATGTTATTTTTGCTGTCTGTTATTGTCATGTCATGGACTGGAAGCGTTGTCGATATGTAGAGCTTAAAATAGTCATGCAAACTGACAAGTTTAAATTCTACTGGACAACAAAAACCAAACGGCACATTCCTAGGAGGTTCTACAATTAGTATTTTTTTAAGACAACATTAAATTGAGGAAGTTCCTTATGAAATAAACTGTTCCTTTCTGTGTGATACATAGAGTCCGAAATTCTTCATCAGGCTGTGCTTTGTTAAACAAAACCCACCCCGCCCGCAATCAAAAATAATGATTAGCAGTGCAACTTTTATGTATCTGGAGAAGCTTTCCCTTGACCCACTTTCCAAAACTCCCATCTGCATTTCACATGTTGTCAGGGATAAGATTGTGTCCCAGATTAGGGCAACAGTCAAGAACTCAGAAGACCCATTTTTAAGGTCTTTTCTTTCGTAGGAAAGGAGCAGAAGTGACAGAGATCTCTGCCTCTGACGACAGCACGCCGCTAGATTTAAGGTTAAGAAATCTCACCTTTGTCGCTTTCTTTTCTTAGTAATCTCCCCTGCAAATTGCATTTCTTTTYGTCACAAGGTTATGTTGTGAGAATAAACACACTAAGAATTTCATTGCAATCTAAAGCAGGACAGGACACAGATACCTAAGAGAGCTTTTAAGGGAGATAAAGATATTCAAGCCAAGAAAAATCCAGGCATTTCAAAGCAGCATAATAAATAAGATTTGTGAAAAAAATCTTCTAAGATAGCGGGCTGAAATGATGCTGTTCAACCAAAAGGATAAAAGATTTCCAGGAAGGCTTCACACCAAAGCTGCTACTTGTCAATCCGACAGCAGCTCCTGCCAGCATGCTGTCATGGGCTAAGACCTGTTTGTGTGTGGGAGCTGAGGAACAATCAGTGATGATATAATGCTTACTCATCCTTCTAGATTGTGGGTTTTTCTTTTTTTAGCCTAGATACCTAAAGGGGAAGATGGTTAACCTAACAAGAGTTCCCAAGCCACAGAATCCCTGGATGGCTCCCAGTGACTCCTCTTCCAGTGCCAAAAATCACCTGCTAATTCTGAGTAAACTTTCAAGCCCTTTCAAAAGTCCATTTGTAGAAGCAGCTGTTTTGCACCAGGAACAGCTGGTCTTGTTGATTTATTCCAGGAAGACCTACATATTTCCCTTCCACATCTATATTCTTGGAGTGTCAATTAGAACCTAGTCTGCAAATAATACAAATAAGTATTTCAGTTACTTCCAAGATCATATTTCATATTTAGTTTGGTTTTTCACAAATCTTAATATCAGAAAACCTCATAACTCTTCTATCAGGAGGTCCCTACACTTTATTTCAAATGAGCAAATTTGAGGGTTTGGGGTTGGTTTTTTTCCTAATACTACTGCATCAGAAAGAAGTTTTTTGCATAGTAACACATAAACACAAATTAAAATAAAAATGCTGGGCCAGAGCGTTGAGACATCTATCCTTTCTGCCATTTAAGACAGCTTTACTACAAACCACAAAGCTTATCTGACTAGGAACACACAAGTGATATATAAGCTGCTGAAAACAGTCAGGAACACAGCTTTGCAAATCAGATTAGAYGCGACCTTCAGAGGTGAACTGCCACCACAGCACCATAGCAGGTCTATAAGAACTACAGAACCACAAAACCTTTCCTTCTGCGTAGCATTTCCACCATCCAAGTACCAGTGAGCACATTTCGTGTTCATTGCYTTCCCCTGTGCTTTGACCACAGGGAGCCTGCGAGTCTCTTCCTGAGCCACCATTCTGAGGATGCAAATACATATTAAAAACTTCCAGATACAGAGAGGTGCATTAAAGAAAATATCCACTGGCCTTGCACAAATGAAATCAGAGCTTTATAGAATTTCATACAACAGTCCTGGACATACACAACAGTAGTCTGGATGATGACTGTCTARGGGTGTTGAATTTGCAATTCATCTTTTCTGACAACTGAAGCTCTTGAGCTAAGCCAAAGGCAGCCTACAAACAATCCTGAAATTGGCTACAGGAGCTGACATGAATATTTCTCAGTTTTCCTATTGCTAAATGATTACACATAGTCTGAGTAGAGAAAGGAGACTTCCTAGTCTAGACAAGATGACTATAGGCTCCATTTCCACCTCCAATGTTAAMTCCAAGAAGATCTAAAATGCCTTGTCTTTGACACAGAACCAAAATATCCAYATCTTAGAAGAACAAACCCCCAAAAATTAACTTAACAAGAAGAAGAATGGCACCACAACCGCTCATAAGAAATCCAGTCTGAAAAAGGAAGAAACAGAAACTGGGTTGCTTAGAGGAAGACTCTTCTGTCATAGTGAACCAATTCAGAGTTGCATAGATTTTGATACATGAACAAAGAAAAAAAATATTATTTCTAACCTTGCACTGGGTACAGCAGACAAACAACCTCAACTGATGTTTAGGTTTGGCGGCAGTGTCATATAYAATCATAGTTTGTCTTTA